TCAAAACAATGCTCACACATATCAGTGGAGGCTCTATTTTGTTCTGCCATTCTCTATATTCCTGTTCTGTACTAGTATTATCAGCAATATATACTACAATTCTACAATCCAATCTTTGGAAAAACAATTCAAACCCTTCACTATGAAACAAAAGCCTGAAAATTTGCAATAATTAAATTCTCTCCTTGTTTTTCTAACTTGTTCTATTTTTGTTTTTTTGAAAACGTTGAGGAATTTGAAAAAGGGATGATAAACTGTTTCGGTACTAAATTCAATCAACGTATTGTTGTTTTATTCAGTTTATTGAGTTTATTGTTCTGTGGTGGTGGTGGTAGTAGAGGCAGACGCGTTGTTGTCATTATTCTTATTGTAAAGTTGATAATAATTGGTGTAGGATGGATAATTCATTTCAATTCTCTTTTGACAACCTTTAGCTGTTGTTTGGTGGAATTCTTTAGGGAGGAAGGTGAGTGCCCAATCATAAATAACATTGGGAATGAGGCCTCCAGGTGTAACCTGTGTGACACACCAAAATTCACATCTCTTTTTTATAATGATTATTGTAAAATATTGTAAATTATTGTCAGCTTACATTTTCATCTATTGGGCTAACTTTCATACCCAAAAATAAAACAGTGGTTCTAACATATTCTGATTTAGTTTCCTTTGGGAATGAATCTGCACTCTTACCAATCATCAAGTAGGTATTAGTTTTTTCATCGTATTTCTCTGCATTGACTGTCATTAAATCACGTGAGCTCACAATTAAATTCCCCTTCTTGACTAAATATTCCAAAACTTGATTTTGTGGCTAAATTATTTCCAATTATTATTATTATTAATATTATTTCACAAAATAATTACCTTTCCAGGAATGTTAAAAATTTGTACAATTTCTCTTCCAGCTTCTCTGTTGTCCCACAAATAACGAAAATCATACGCTCTCAAAACATCATAAAACACTTGAATTGGATAATTAACAATCATCTTGTACTTGTGTCTGACTGTTAAATGAGAATGTTCTTCACTAATGGTTTTAGATCCTCCTTCACCATTTAATTTCTTCCACATGATTCTATCCTCTTCCTCGAATAATAATTTATAGTCACCATCCTTATCCTCAATTTCACTCTCTAATTTATCAAAATCCGAAAATTCCTATTTCCACAATTTTTCCTTGGTCAAGCATTAATTTCCATCACACAAAACATACCACAAGAGGAAATTTATATTGTTCAAATTTTTCAAAGCTATCGGAAACTATCTCTTCAAGCTTTGGTTTGATGAAGAGTGATTGTGCAGGTGTCGACGAGAACCATCCAGCCATTTTTTATTGTTGTGTGTTGCAATAATTTGGAAGGTGTTGGAGGCATAGGCGGAATACTGAACTCCGCTGTACTTACTGATTTCTCGTCCCCAAGCAGGGCAAGACAATTAGTAATAGAGAGAGCTTATAAATTCCACATTGGACGATGATTTGGTTCTTTGAGGGATGGTACTGCTACGAGTTCATTATTGTTTTCCTTCACTTCAACAATTACATTGGACATTTCATCCATTTCATCAAAGATTAAATGTTCGAGTGATCTGAATGGTTTAACCCAGCCCTTTATCTGGGAAGCTCTCATTCTCTCATCTTTGCATCTGTAGGTGACAATATTGAAATTGGATCTTTTCCAATAGGGAGCTAATTTAGCTTCCTCTTCATTGTCATTCTCAAAGAACGTTTCATTAATTCTCGAGAGGAAACCCTCATGGGAGTCATGTTGACTTGCTGATGGTGGGGGTGTAATTAATTCTCTACCAACTGTTTGATTAATCATATCAGTACTCTTCTTTTTGAAATCAGTCCACTTTTCCCATAATTCTTGCTTGTTAAGAATAACTTTGGTGTATAATTTGATGCTCGCGTATTTAGGCCACATTGTTGAGCTATTTAAAATATGAGCTATTTTCAAACCATTTGATGTCCAATAGGCACAATTTCCTCTTTCTGCAATTCCAGAAAACCATGAAAAGCCCTTAAATAAGTTATAAATTGGTCCATTAACCATACTATATTTGGCCATATTCAAATCACCCAATTTTTGAGTTTCCACAAAATATTCATGCATTTGTTTAATGTATTCTTCTGGCCATTCCTCAAATCTGAAAGAAATCATTGTTCTCGAATAAATTCCACCTTGTTCATTACCATCATCCACTGTACATTTACTGCATGTTTAATTCACAACATGTCAACCAATATATAATTATTCCATTAAACATACCTCGGATGTCCAAACAAATAATCATCAGCAGGTATAAAATTCACCATTCTATGACCTGGTTTTCCAACAACTATTACAAAGATGACAAAATATTCAGAATAATATTTCAACAATTAAAATACCTACTATTCATCACTATTGATTTTCCATCTTCTGGATTAGTATATCGAATAGCAGAGTGACCATACGGATTCACTGATGAATCCGAACTAAATATCCTCGTCGTTAACAATGAAGGAGTCACATAAATATATTCAAAAGCAGGAGCCTTCTTCTTCCCCAGCAGAGAATCAATCTCTGTTAATGCTGTTTCTTTATTAATCACCTCCCTCATATCTTGATGCTGAATTGCTTTAGAAAAACATTGTTTCTTCATCATTGCTCTTGAAAAAGGATAATCATTATTCTTGTTGATTAATAATTTCCGAGATAAAGTAAAAGCTGTAGTAGTTGTACTAAAACGCGATAATGATCTCAACATTTTTTTGATTGAATTTCTTTCAGTAAAAGGCAAGGAATAGATTCAATCAAATTCATGTAGTTGCTACTGTGAACTTTCTATGCCATCAGATTGTTAATTGTCAGTAATTGGTGGAAATAAGTGATTACAAAATATTTTAAACCAATTCGAATATTAGAAAAAACATGTCAAAGAGACCAGCCGAATCTTCTTCCGAAGATGAAGAAGAAGATTACTCATCAGAGGAGGAGAATGTACAAGAATCGTCATCAATTAAAACTAAACCAATTCAAGTAAATCCACTCCATGCCGATAAGATTGTTCGACAAATATTGATTAAACCCAAATGGCATGCCAAGATTGACAATAAGAGAATTATTAAAAAGTGGAGAGACGAATGTACCAAACAAGGTATATCAAACTCTAGTTTTGATGTTGGAATTGATATCTTACGTGATATCAAAGCAATTTCCCACTCTGTTCACTATTGTTGTGGATATTGTGGTGCTCAACCAAAGAAGAAACTATTCTCTGATCCCGATAGTGATGCAGAAGAATTGAATGAAGATGAAGAACTTTTCGATGGAACTCTTGAAGATAAGAAACCGAGTAAAAAGAAGAAAAAAGTAATGAGGATTTCATATTCGGACGATGAGGAGTATAATGATGATGATGGTGAAAGAAGATCATATAGGAGGTCAACCAAGTTTTGTCTTTGTCCATGTGCTCATTGTGCATTTAAGGAACAGAAAGTTGGACCAGATGTATGTGTTGAGAAGGAAGATTGGATTCCAGAAGAGTTGACTGAAAGATTGAAGAAACATTTGAATTCTTTGGTGGAGAGTACACCTAAGGAGGAATGGGATTGGCATCCTGGTTCAAATCAACAAGTTCTCGATATTATCCATCCTTCATTGTATTGCTATTCGAAAGAGCATAGTATTTTGAAAGGGGATACGAAAAAAAAGTTGGTAAAGAATATGAAACAGATTAACACTCAATGGCTACCAACAGATTTTGAAGTTGACAAACAAGGAAATGTCAAACCACTTTCCTATATCAATAACATTAATCCAACATCACAGAAAGAATTACAAGATACTATTTGTGAGGTCTTGTCACATTTAACTCAACCAGTCAAGAAATTTGTCAAGTTCAAAAAGAAGGTTCAAGTAATTGTCAAGGCAGCAAATGTAATTGTCACTCCAGAACAAGGTTTCTATCCAGGTGGTACTTGGCACTCAGAAGGGGATACTGAGAATATTGTAGCTACTGCCATCTTTTATTATGAATGTCAAAATGTGAAGGAAAGTGTTTTGGAATTTAGATCTTCATTGGATGAGGAAAGTTTTTTTGGTATTGAGCAAGATAATGTAAAACAAGCTTGGGACAGATGTAATGTAAGTTACCTTAATTCAATATTCATCAATTAATTTCTCAAATTTCTTTGAAAGATTCATGATCGTGATAAATTATTCACAATTTTGGGAAATGTCAAAACCACAGAAGGAAAATGCATCTTCTTCCCAAATACCCATCAACACAGAGTTAGACATTTCTTCCCAAAGGATCCAACTGAGGTTGCCACCAGAAAAATTCTTGTCTTTTTCTTTGTTGATCCAGAAAAGCCAATTGTTTCAACTTCAAACATTGATAATCAGAGGAGAGATGCTGCCATTTCGAATGCATTCCCTCTCGTTAAAAAGTTACCTTATCCAATTCTTATTAAGGAGATTATTCCATTCCTTCCTTTGATGAGTAAGGCACAAGCCGAAGAGGTTCGTGAGCAATTGATGGAGAGTAGAAAGTACAAAAGGGATGAACAAAATGAATTATACGAAAGAGAATTCTCATTATGTGAACATTAAATTCTACCAAATTATTGAAATTTATTCCTGGTTATTATTAATATTAATATTAAAAATTACTAGAATGAAGTTGATGAACTCAACGCAATCACAATATTAATAAAACAATTAAAAAAAATGATTAGAAGAAGAGTTTCGGATCAATCTTCATCATCTTCGGGTGCTTCTCCTTCATCATCAAAAACAAGACAACACCAACTATTAAATAATATAACTCTACCAAATACTAATACTAGCAATAGTGTACTACCATCAACATCAGCATCTGTTGGATCGACTGCGGAATCGACTGCTAAAATTAATGAAAAAACAAAATATGAATTGAGTACATTGCTACATAAACATTGCTCAAAGGATGCTGATGCCTATGTTGAGGATGCAATTTTACATAAATTTAAATCAATACTAAAGCAAGGAGATGTCTATGTTGAGACTGCTTATCATCAATTGATAAAATCGATATTGACAAAGAAGAATTCCACCATTCGATATTTTGCATTGACTTTTATTCATGAAGCAATGAGAAGTAAACGATTTAGAACACTTCTGGCTCAGGATTTTAAGGAATTTATTATATTGACAGTGGCAGGTAGTCCAGCAAGTAGGACGGATGCTGCCACTTCGAACGTTAGTAGTGGTAAAGATAATGCATTCCTAACGAGGAAAAATTCAAAATATAGTGCTATTTGTGTGCCTGATGTGTTGCCTCCACCTGAGAAATCTGCAATGAAATTGAGAGCAAAGGCATTGGAATATATTGAAAATTGGAGTGAAACATATGGTCAATTGTATCCATCTTTTCAAAAAGGATATGAGTATATTGAAAAGAAATTGAGATTTCAATTTCCTAAACTGAGAGAACATCATCTCAATCAAGTTCAAATTCGAAATGAAAGACAAAGACATAGACAAACTATTTTATTGGGAAAATTTAAGAATATTAAGGATAATGATTTTGAAAAGATGGCCCACATTGAAGTGTGTCTGAGACAACTCGAGGTTTGTCTCGAACAGATTATTCCATCATTTGAAGAAATGATGAAAATTGCAATTAGAGAGGACGAATCAGTCAATCCACCTGTCACTATTGATCCAAACTTTAATTATATTGAAACTATAAATTCAACCTCTGATGAGAATATAACCGAGCAAAATAATGTACAAAACGATAATTATAATGTAAATATGGATAACTATGAAATAACTGCGGAGGAAAATGAAGAGGATGAATGGGAAGAGGTAACAGGTTATCAAGAGGAAGAGGATGAAAACTCTGTGCCTCTAGACATTGATGACATGATGAAAGATGTTGGTATCTTCTCGAATGATTATGAGATTACAATTGATTTGAAAGATATTTTCCAAGACCAGGAAACTATTGACAATACCACACTCTTTGAAATTTGTAAGGAAAATTTACGTACACTGAGGAAGACATACTTTCCTCAAATTAAGGAATGGATGAGAATAATGACTGCTATTAAAAGAACCAGGTGATATTTTCTCAATGTATTGACATGAAAACAAGATTACTACTGTATTTGACAAGTGTGAAAAACTCAAAATTGAAAACTTTGAGGCAATAGAAAAGACCAAATCAATGGAAAAGCAAATTGAAGCAGCAAGGAAAATTGAAGAGGAAATTATTGAGGATTTGATTCTTAAAAGAAAACGAAACAATACTGACTCTAGTAAAAATAAAAAGCAAAAGATGAAATAATTTATGATTGTTGGGTAGTTGTTTGTTGTTCAGTTGTTGTGGATGGAGTTGAAGAAACAAAGAATGATTTGATAAGGGCAGCAAAATTGTTGGCCATGTCATCACTTGGGAATTGAGCAAAACCGTGGACAACCTTTGGAGTTCTGAAATGTTTGAGTGTAGATGTACCATTAGAAGCTTCAGTAACAACACGAGCAAATTCAGCAGCTTCATCTCTCAAAATGTCATATTCAGCAGTAATGACGAAACCTCCAGGAAGCTTTGAGTAAACCTTAGCTCTAGCATCAGGATCACGAGTATCCAATGCACTCATAACTGAAAAGTATGGATTGGCAGCAGCTTCTTCATCTGAAACTTGGGTTCCAAGAAGATATCTCCAAAACTTCTCAAGAACTGGACTATCCAAAACAAATCCAAAATCTCCAAATAATTTGTAAGATTCAAACTTGGTTCTATTAGCAGGATAATAGTGAAGAGCTGGATAGAAGAGAGCTTGTTGATGAATTTTTGGAATTTGTTCCTTCTTGACAATTTCCTGATCTGCCATCAATAACCTAACAAGGGCATGTGAAGTAATATGACCACCAGCAGAGTCACCAGAAACAGTGAGTTGATTAAGATTGGCATTATACTTTTCATCCCTCAAATTCTTTCCAACCCAAGTCAATGCATTCAATAAATCATTCAAACAAGCTGGGAAAACATTTTCTGGAGCTTTTCTATATCCAACACTGACAACTACAAATCCCTTCTCTGACATTTTTCTACAGAATGAATCATAAACGTCAATATGATTTAAAACCCATCCACCACCATGAGTATAAACTAATACTGGATATCCACCTGGACGATGTTGTTTTGGTGTGTAAATTCTCAATAAATATTGTGCCATATCACTTGTTGAATCCATCTCTTTCAAATACAATTCCGATGATGAAATATTATATTGAATTTGATGAGTAGTTTTTTGCAATAAACTAGATTCCATAGTAGTATTTCTAACCTTGTACAATTCCTGTCTGAATTTTACAATATCTGCAAATCTAACAGATAATTTAAATACCATACTCTTATAATATAATTGGAATGATAAATCAGGAAATAAAATCAACGGATACAATGCATAGGCAACAAGCACCAACAAGAGTGCCAAAATTCCGAATGCCACCTTCATGATAATTCTAATGCTGCTGACCACTAAAACAAAAACACAAACTCCTGGTGTGCAAAGCTGCTGATCTTTATATTTTTTTTTTAAAGCGAAAGAGCGAAAACCAAGCGAAAATTTATTATTATTCCCTTGCTCAATGCTCAATAAGAATTTCAATGGTTCAATTATTTGGAAATAGAAGGTCAGATTTACATATTGAGGTGATTTTTGTGGAGTAAGGTGGGTGGTGTTCAATATTTTTTGAAGGTTAATTGGCGAAGTATCATCATGATGTTGGGACTTGAGATTTTCTTGGTGGAAATTTAGTACATTAAGCGAGTTATCATTGTATCGAGATTGTTTGCAGCCTCTGTGAAATCTATCTCTTCCATTCCTTGCTGAGTGTATTGCCAGAGGTGAATCTTTCTTTTGAAATTGGAGGTGAAGATAGAATGAAAATCTTGTAATGTCTTAGTGATTGAAGCAGAGTTGACGAGGTGAGACATTTTCAAAGTGTCAGATTAGAATACTATTTGAGGGAATTGTAATTTTGTTACTATAATCGCCTCCTTTCAACTGAAGAGTTGGTCCCAATGCAGAAAGAGATCCATATGAATGAACTGACGTAAAGCATGCCTTTGGCTTCTGAATACTATCTAGAGTAGAAATTGTTTGGTTTAAATATTTCACTTGGCAAATCATTCATCAGAGGATAGTCAAACTCTGAACATCCCATTTGAATAATGCACATCATCTGGAACTAGATTATTCCACATTTTCCTCAAATTTCCACGTGCAAATTCACCAGGAAATCGTAAAAAGCTGTTATTTTGTTCCCTAAGCCTTTTCACCAAGTTTTCATTACCAATACACCAATCTACCATCACACTCCTCGACTTGAAACTCTGTGAATTGTCTTGATAAAAGTAAACATTCGGATCACCTTTTGGCTCATCCTCGGAGAGGGTTTGTTCTTCATAAATATTCTCGATAAAATCTCTTCCAATTCTTGTTCCTCCAATTCCATTTTGTTTTTGAAATATTTATTAATATTTTTACAATAATTTCAAATGTTTTGTAACAGTATCAATTAATTCTACAGGAGCTGGACCAATTCCAAGTACTGTTTTCGATCCAGCTTCAATTTGAGTTCTTCCAGCATCAACAACAAGATAACAATTCAAACGTTGTTGTAAACATTTTTGAAATAAATTATCCAATTCCTTATCACTATCTGCTTTAAGACAAATCTTAGCTTCAGCTGTTACTTCCCAGTCATGTAAATATTGTTTCCATTGTTGCATATCTTGGTTGGTGATTTGTGTTGGCTCTGAATTTGATGATGAAAATAATAATTGAGTTTGAGCAAAATAGGAGGTGTTTTCATAGAGAATATTTCTATAGAGACCGACAGCTGCATGACAACATTGAGCAGCAATCTTTCCTTTACCCATATTCAAATCATTTCTAACAACAAATACCATCTTGTAAGCCTTTGATGTCGGGAATGATTTCATCAAATATTCTTGATATTTTTGAT